CCATCCTCCCATTTTGCAGTGCACGAAACTTAACTATATCTTGCATTGAGTGATTGTATCTGGAACAAATCTAGGATCTCCATAGATAGTGTCTTAATATTCCCATGCGGCCTTGTAATCCGTTCCAATTTTCTTTTTCCGGCGATATCGCAGAGGAACGAAAAATCCGACTTGAGATTTTTGAAGGTCGGCCGCGCGGACGCCATATTTACAAATTTGATCATTTAGTATGAACGCACAGATTTATGTCCCTCTGGTACCCTCTAAAGCCAGCAAAATACACGTTCAAACGAGGAATTCTGATTGGTTTATTGATCTCCAAACTAGAGAGGAAGTTTGGAGACAAAATTTTGCTTAGTAGGTGAGGTAGGGGGAGAGCGTTCTTGCGCGAGCCAATCGTGCGGTTCGGGCGGTTAAGGTGGCTGATACCAGTCTCCTCGCGCGGGGAACAGGTCACTCTTGCGTGATGCGTGAGATAAACGTGCGAAAGAAGCGCGAGATCAAAAGATGAAAGTTCAAAACAAAGATGGCGGCGCATGGATTTTTCTCTACTTTTGTGAGAAGTTTAGCTTGGAGCGTGTATTTGATGTGTTGAGCGGCCACTGTGATTGCAGGAGATAGAAACTAAGATAAAGAAGAAGATTTTCGGAGAAGTAAAGGTTGCTTCACTTCACATCTAAAAAAAATATTCAGCCGACAAGAAATCTTGCGACGGCGAAAAAAAGAAGAACTCAAGTGAGGGATAATCTACTGGTAGTGGAAGAAGACTTTGAAACTTTAAGGAAAATAATATGATATAGCCAAAAGTCGTGTGTAGGATTTTTAAGATGAGCCCGTGAGGCTGTCTTTGACAGGTGTTTAATGATTTTCTTAGCTGTAAACGTCTGTAAACATCAGATCGTAGGCGCACGCGCGAGAACACGCAATTGTCAGCGGTAGCTATAACAGATCATGAGCAAATGTCGATCTTATAGAATCCAGATTTTTAAATGCGCGAGAACGCGCGTGGAAATTGCTAAACTCACGAAAGCTATTGCATGAAAACAAGTCCGGTGACCCCTTCTTTTTATTGTTCCAATATGATAATAACGTCGAAAGGAATCATCAGAAAAAAAA